TAGAGCCATTTGTATTAGTGGTCACCTAATAGGGTTCTGTATATCACATAGAGCCATCTGTATTAGTGGTCACACAATAGGGTTCTGTATTAAGTGGCTAGGAAGATCAAATGGACCTCCGCTGCAGTAATGTTGTCTGGAAGGAATAGAACAAAGCAGAGTTATTGCTTTAGTAAGCAATCAGATTTCCCAGATTATAAATGATGAAATATAACTGGTCATTTGTTTCCATTTTCTTTCTCATTAGTTTTTTTTTTATTTAATTTTTTTTAAATAGCTTAGTATTTATGCTGATCTTGACAGTGTGAAGAACCAATGTTAATACCTTTTTTGTACCTTCATGGTACTGATATACTGAGCCATATAAAAGATTGTTTTGCATACCTGGTCATCCATTGACTGATGAATTGCTGATTCTTCTGGTTGGAAGTGGTTTCCATTTTACACTTGGGCTGGACCCAAATTAAAGCTGTGAATCGTACATTTGGTTATAGCAATTTTATATATTTAAACTGGCTAACTTTAAAGTGTCATTAAACTTCATGCAATCCTGAATGCTGATGGCACCAATAGATTTTTGGGACTACATTAATATGTGTATATATAAGGAAATGCATCATACTGACTGACAAAAAATACTCAGTGATGGTAACACATTTTCTCTACCAGAACCCCAGACGGCCAAAACTAAAGTTTTGGATTCAGTACACCTTATGACATGAAGGATAATCATTAGTACGTTTTATGGCTCACTGGATATTTTTACTAGAAAAGCTCTTGGGCAGTATGTACTCAACATTGATTTGGCCAGTAAGCCTACGTTACAGGTTTTGCTGGGGAATTCTCATTCATGTATACAAATATGTATATATTAGGTCATGTGTAGGAAACCTTGGCACAAATTCCATCATGCCTCTGGGAGTCATATCTGTGGCTGTCAGAGTCTTGCAATGACTGGCTCTCAAAACGCCTGAACAATGCCTGCATTCAAATAGACTGTTCAGGTATTTTGAGAGCCAGCAGGGCCGACTAGCAAGATACTGAAGCTTGGCCCAGTGGGAGATTCCTCCATCCACATAGCTTAGCATAGATGAAGGAATCTGTTACACTTTTCCCATCTGACCATAGAAAATCTGCACATAATCTATAGGTGTATGGCCAGCTTAAGTAGTGTTAAGGTTGCCTATACCTGTGTTAGGTGATTCCTAAAAATGAGTATGTATGAAATAAAGTTCTAGTCCTAAGAGGAGATTGTGCCCCCTACAGATTCAAATATCTATCAGTGCCATGGATTGCACCCAACTGCAAAATAATTTTCCACGGTCTCAGGCACTGTAGACTTCTAAGAATGCAAGGATATGTGACTATTTCTATTGTAGATGATGGTAACCTGTAATGTAGGTGTATTGGTCTTTAAAATATTACCTTGTTGTTCTTTACAATCTTGACTTTAAAAGCAAGAAGGACCAAAATACTTCAAACTATTTCTAAAGCTGTCTTTTCAAGGATTAGCCATTTAGTTCTAATTTGTTGCTAACTGCCTAATTCATTGGGTAGAATTGACACTGAAAACCCGTTGGCAACTACCACTAGTCTGTTATACAACCTTAATAGGTGATGTCATTATCTGAAAGCCTCTCACCATAGAGGTGGCTTACCACCACGGTCATTGCCAATTGTGTGTTATTTAATGAACAAGGTAGTACAAAGCTTATTGCTCTGCTGAAACTCACAGGAACCAGTCAGATTTTCCTTTTTGTTAGTAAAGAGTATGTGCGATGGGGAAATGGGATTTAGTAGCTATGAATATCTGTAAGCGGATATACCATGTTTTACAGATATGCCATGACCTGGATGAATGAGAACCTTCAGACATAGTAGCTATGAAGCATTGTTGCTGCATTGCAAACATCGCTCATTACTTGGCAAGCACGCCGGACTTTTATCTTTGAAAGGTCTTTGCATTGTCATTCATTTATTTTTCAGACCCGATGTCTCCCATGATCAAAACATCAGCTAAAACACCTTCAGTAGATTCCTTTATTGCAGGGTAACCGATTGTTTTGCATGATATTCTAAGACATACTACTTACTACTGTATGACCAGAATCCCCATTCTGTTTGAGTTTAGGCTGACATGATTTGTAGTTAGGATTTCATTGCTGTGTGTGAATGAGTCTCTTAGATAATCATTTTATGGCCTACTTCTTTTTCATATCTGATTCCTGTTGCCAAAATACTGCTGGTTAGGCGAGGTTACCATCGGTGCAAGTCAATTTTAGTTTTCATTTTATTTCTTTACCTCTTACATTCTTACATAAAAATCTTTAATTTTGTTTAGGAATTTATTGTTAGACCTGTTTTACTTCCCTGTTCTGTTTATTTAATGTTTGTTATGGAGATATCATTGACTTAAAATGAGCTGGTCATTGAAATGTTGAAGAAACGTCCTACATCATGTGTTACATTACCGAACATCCTCACTACACATCTTCATTCATAATGTATATTATGTCTATATTGGTTACTCAGGTTCCAAAACCTGAATAAAGGATAATGCATTTTAAACCTTTCTGATCAGCTTCTTGTTTGTCTTGTTTTTCTCTTCTATAAAAGGTGTTCTTAAAGGGACATTACATATACAAAAGTTGTCTTGAAGGCGCAACGTCCCACCCAAAAAAAATTTAAAAAAATCAGTTTTGTGTGTCTGCCTTTATAGTTCACATCTTGGCTTTTTGTCTCTCAGGTAGTCCAACAGGAAGATATCTGTACCAACATTTTCAGCACCACCATGTTGTCGCAGCCATTATAAAGGCAAGTGATGGCGTCACATTTCCCTGATTGGTTAGTTCAGCTACAAGAGTCACATTTTGTTTCAGCATTGTGAGAGGCGGTAGACCTAGAAACTACTTTTAGAGACACAAAATGCCTGTTGCTAATTCAACTTGCAAATAGTGACATTTGAGGAAGATATATTTTTTTACCAAGTAAGGTATTACAGTGTACTTCCTAAGCAAGTTTTTATAAACATTTGCCGGTATCTTTTCCAATAAATGAGATCAGGTTTGTGAACTCTACAACTCTATAACTAAATTGTTAAGGTGAAGACATTTGAATGAAAAGAACATTTCCCTAAAAAAAAGAACCGCATAAAGTACACCGAAGAAAATCAGAGAAATCTATTCTAAAACAGAACATGCAGTTGAGATAAACAAGGGCAAATCAAAAGAACTTACCCTGTAGGGGTTAAGTCCTTTCTTTTGTTTTAGGGGGCTGGAATGAAGATTTACTTACCTGTATATCTACTTTATTTGAGCCCTCTAGACAAGACAAGCATTTAACCCGTGCAGTGCGGAGGTTTTTGCCCAGAGATCGCTAAACTGAGATACTGGATGCAGAATTGCATTACACATCAGACATATGAGCGAATGTTGAGACACCTTGCTGGTACAGTTGATGATAATTTACAAGATAACTTAAAATTAGATTTTGGTTTTGCCAGCAAAAAATGCTGATTTGTCATTTAGGGTTCCCTCTTCACTTTAGTTAATTGTAGACGGGATTGTTTCCTGTTCCTAAAATCGGTGAGCCACGTAATCTTCAGCTTTTTTTTTAATGTTTCTTCTTTGCTATAATGGGGCTGATATGTGTGCAAAGTGTAGGCAGCCCACCCCGTTGTTATTTAAAGTGACACCAAACTCAGGAATTAAATCTTAAAAATACATTAAAGTACCTTTTAACTATTAACAAAAATGTATCTCATTTGTGTATCACTCAAATCATCCCTGAATTAGCACTGACACTGTCCTTCCTTCTGGAGGGTGGCTACATTTGTTCCCCATGGTTCCTGTGTGTGTTGTAAAGTAGCCACCGCTACAAGCTCACTCCTGTGATGGACTACAATCTCTTGTTTAGTTTACTAATTTGTATTGAAAATAAAGCGAATGTTGCAATGTGTTTGCTTCCAATATTATCAACATCCGTGCTGATTTTAATAAATGTCCACACCGAGGGAGTTTTTGTCCGCAGCAACTCTCTTTTATTCCCTGGGCGATGAACAATGCAATAAATCTGATTGGTCATTATAAGGAACAGCTCCACTTTTATTAAAGTAGAACACCAGCCATATTGGAGACCTTCCCAAATGAGGGATATCAAACTTCTGACATGTCCCCATTGGAAGCAATCCCCTTTACATTTGTTACAGTGATAACTGTAAAATTTTGGATCCGCCCCAATCCTACTCTTTTCTTTCCCAAAGACCCTAATCAATGTGAAAAATACGAAGACTGAGTTTCCCATTGGACACAGTGAGCTTTTTCTTCTAAGCGCTGTCAGAATACAACGGTCCAGTGGGAGACTTCTCCTTCCACGCTGTTTAGTTTGGAGGGAGGAATCTGTTATTTTATTTTTTTTGTTCATCCTACACACAAAATATATATATAATGGAGTATAGCCAGCTTTAAGCTCCTGTGGGTTTGTGTAACTGTACCATCTTAGAACAGCTGATCCGGGCAACAAAAGACGTGTGGCAGACTGTTTATTGTAAACAACACTTCGTAGTAACATAACCGCTATCACGGTACTTTTACCATTACTCTACAAAAATAAATTTACGACTACAAAAAATTGCTTTGTAAAATACTTTCTTATGCTATGCACAAGCTCAGCAGTAGTTCGCACCAGTGATGACCAGCCGTTTGGAAGATGGAGCCCCTATTTTTGTGGGTACCAGTGTTTTGTAACCACAATAAGATATGCTTTTCCATATAATATATAACTGGCCTGACAATGTAGGCACTACATATTGAATGTTGGTTCGGGTTCACTCACTAGGTCAGGGGTAGGCAACCTTGGCTCTCTAGCTGTGCTGAAACTACAAATCCCATAAGGCATTGCAAGACACAGGCAGGACTCCCAGAGGCAGAAGCATGATGGGTTTTGCAGTTTCAGCACAGCTGGAGAGCCAAGGTTGCCTACCCCTGCACTAGGCTGTGCACCTTAGTTCTACGCTACACTTTTATCTGACGAGCAAAAAGACCTTTGAAATGGTCATCTTGTAAATCTCGAAGTTAACTAAATGATGCACGAGTCATACTTTGGGAATGTAATCTCCATCTCAAAGTCTTTTCATCCTTTTTGGTTCTGCTCTGCTGAGAGTCTGGGCGTGGGGTCACATTGGCGGCTTCCTCTTTTGATGGACTGTAGTAGACCATACACATAAGGGATAAATGCTGAGTCAGTTTCACCATGCCTACTATGGAGGCTCCACCGACGAGCATAAGAGTTGGCCAAAACAGGCAATGAAACACTACCGATCGATCGTACTTTTTAATTAGTATAACATCTTCTGGTTTATTGTCAGGTCGATGAAAGCATGCAAAAGGGGTGTCATTTTTGCGTTCAAAGTACTGTTTCACATCTAGAACGCCATCCAGTAAATCGTTCTTGTCTCTTTGGCACTTTGGAACATAAAAGCACTGCAGGAAACAAAAAGAAACATCAGGATTATCAGTACTGTTCAGAGTTTTGTTTTCAGAAAATGGAGGTTAATTACTGTGCTGTGTGCAGATTCTATTGGGTTTTCTGAGATCAAGGGGGTGATTTACTAACCTAAACACACACACGCACTAGGTGCGTGTGATTTTTACACAGCAAAACGTATTTATCAACCAAAAAGTCTCTAAAAGCATATTTCCACTAATGCCATATATGGAAAAATCATGCACATGATGCATATATAATGCTGCTTCACAGTTTAGACAAAAATGGTTAGCTCATGCATTTACATTCCTGCATTCATCAACGCAAGCAACACAACATAGAGCTAATTTACACAACATCACCTTGCAATTCATGCAGGGCTTTGCACAACACACCTGCTGGGTGTGTACACACTACAAAGGTGTCTAGATTCCACCAATAGATCATGCTGGGAGGGAACACACTACAGAGGTGTATACTTGTTCGTGGCGTGTTTATAAGGTTAGTAAATCAACCCCCAAGAGTTACTCACTTTGGGATTGATCTGGACAGCCTCTTCATTATAATGCAGGGCAGCAACATGACCAGAAGCAGACACGTTTACCAGTATCTGAAGACAGGGATATTTGGATTGGCCATGGCAGTCTACACCACATGTGAAGGAACAGTCCACCCAGTCGTCCATTATATCAGCCTGGATAATTGTACAGTTGGATTCTTCATTCCATACACTGATAGACAAAACAAATATTTTCGGTTGAGGTTCATTATTATGCACCATTGCTGAAAAACAATACCATAGGACTGGAATAATTAAAATTAAAGTGATTTCGCCAAGCACTGCAATTCAGGGTTTTGTAAAAGGCCGGGCACTACCGTAAGCATGGTCTTACACTGTGGGATTTTAGCACCAAGTTGCCTTGTCTGGAAGTCACACCCTCTCCAGTCAGCTCCTAGTACTTTGTATTTTCAATGATTTGAAAAGTGGCATGATCTCCTGTACTGCAGTACATAAATGGAGGGACATGATAACATTTTGTATTGGTACCTATAAAAGCTAAAAAGCCATATAGGCACTGAGGTCATTTTATTATAGAGTTCCATACTTAAGTGACCCAGGACTTGGTGATGGTAGATCAGTGCTATTAATGGAGGTGTAGCAACTTGCATTGAAAGTGACATAGTGAAGATAGTGGTGGGGCCGGGAAGAGTACAGCATCTGCAAGGACAGTAACTATGTGCATTGCAGCATTTGACTTTACATAGAAAGCATAAAAATGAAAATACATAAGCACAAGTAATTTGTCTGCTGTTCTTTTTTTTTTTAATAAAATGTAATAATTAGGGAGAGACTATTAGGAGACTGAAAACATACCATAGTAGTAACTGACGTTAACAAATTAAACCATACAAAGCTACAGAAAAGTAAAACAGAAAATAAGCTGAAAAAATCATGTAAAAGAAATGAGTGGAAGAAAAGAGAAGTGAGTGCTAAGCCCCAGAATGGCGAAGCAACAGATGCAGCCAGTTCATATCTACAGGACATGGGTTATGGCATAGCTGGGATTTTTTACTAGTTGGTCCTAACCCATGCAATCTCTTTTCTAAGCATGATAAAAATCACAGCACTCTATTTTTTATATTTGGTGGCTGACTATAAATATGATTGAGACTGGTGCTGGGAGCCAGACATGTGCAATTCTTTTCGGAAAGATTTTTTATTTGGACGAATTTTCGTGATTCGGACGTATCCGAATGACAGAAATGACGAATGAAAACGAATCCAAATTTCTGAAAATTAACATTTCAGACAAAATGAGTTAGCGGTAGTCTGTACGAATGTTTGTTTGTGGACGAATTTTCGTTGCAGCAAAGTGACATTAAACAAAAGAAAAAGAATAGAAAAAAAAAAGCGTTAGGTTCCCTCCCAATTGATACCAAATCCTTTAGGTCTGGTAGGAATGTTAGGAGGGATCCCCCCCCCCCTCCCAAGTTAAAAAAGAAAAGTCAGTGGGGTCTCCCCCAAAATCCATACTGGGCCCTTTAGGTTCTACTAGACCCTTGATCCGATGATTAACGCTGGATTACATCGATGGAGCCAATTTGTATTTTTTTTTAATTAAAGGAATAGTCAAAAATTTACTCTGTTTTTTTTTTTCAATTAAAGGATTTTTTCTAAAAGTGTGGTTTGTTTATTTTCATTGAATTTTTAACCTTATAGTGAATGAGTAGGGGTACAAGTACCCCTTATTCATTCACAAGGGAGGGTGGCATCTGGGTGCCCCCTTAATTAAAGGGGTACCCCCATGCAAATAAGCCCCCCTGCCCACAGATCCCCACAACCTTCGGGTCAGGGTTGTGGGGAAGAGGCCCTTGTCCCCATCGGCATGGGGACACCCTCCCAATGCTGAGGGCACGTGGTCTGGTAAGGTGCAGGGGGGGCGCCTCGATCGCCCCCTCCTTTCCTGCCCTACCGGGCCTGTGCTCGGATCAAGGGTCTGGTAGGGAACAAAAATTCCCACGTTTTGTTTACCCCTATTTTTTGGGGGTGGGGTTCCCCCTTAAAATTCCTACAAGACCTAAAGGGGCTGGTATGGTTTTTAAGAGGAACGCCACGCACTTTTTTTTTTTTCTTCACTTGGGGTTGTCCCTCCTAACATTCCTACCAGACCTAAAGGGTCTGGTATCAACTGGAGAGAACCTCACGCTTTTTTTTTTTTTCTCTTCTGCAGACTGTAAAAATAAAGATTTTTTTTCTGTCTAATGTCACTGTGCTGCTGCAAAGAAAATTCCTCCACAAACGAACATTCGTACAGACTACCGCTAACGAATTTAGTCCGAAACCGAATCCCGAAACGAATTGACTTTCGGACCCGAATCCTGAAAACAAAAATAACGGAAAATCCGAATGAAATGGAAACAAAACAAATTTTTGGCCGGTGCATATGTCTACTCGGAGCACATTGTTAATAGTTCCTATGTAAATTGATATTAAGAAGGGCAAGTCATGTATTTGTTTTCTGTGGCAATGAAGTATGAATGTTATATGGTGAGTTGGGCTGAGCAATAAATATTTTTTATATGAAACTTACTTGAGCATGAATGGTTTCAGTATTGCGATCCCCAGTAAAAAGAACATCATTACTGAGAGACCCATCATAGTGAAGCCCAGCAGCATGGCTCTATCTTCCCCAGCATTGGACACTTGCTTCTTCATCTTATCGGTTGTCTTCACCCCATCGCTGCCGCTCTCTTTCCTCTTCACCTTGCCGGATACTGGAGAAAAGGCTTCCCTTAAAATAGCAGAGAATCCCATTATCATATGCTCGTATTTTTAAGTTAATATTTGAGATAAAAACATTCCATTATGTGCAAACCTTTTTTTGGCTCATATTCCCAGAGCTTTATAGCAGAATATTCACCAGAGGGACTTTGGGTTATTATCTGGACAATGATAAATACTTAATGCAATAGAAAAGTTTTTACTTTCACCTTGTTCTGCTAAGAAAGTTTAAGCTAAATGAAATGCTGATAATGCAGCTACTGTAACTGCACAGAAAAAGAGGAGGAATTGAGGGATATCTTACTGCATAGTGTCTGAGACAAAAGGTTGGAGGGCTCTACTGCATAGCACATTAGATTTCAGTTTGGGGAGACCAATTTAATTTTAAAATCTACCTAAAGATGTGTAAAGCCATGTCCCTGATGTGCCACCTATCACTAATCCTAACTTCATCCCTAAACTCATTAATTCTTATCTAAAATGTGCGAAGGGTTAGTATATATTAAAGCAATGCTCTAGCTGAGTGCTCTGAATGTCCATTATGTCTTCGTCAAACCCCAAAATATACATTTAATACATTGCAGTTTACCAGTCCTTAAATGTGGTGGCTGCATTCATTTTCTTTTTTCTTTTTTCTTTATGCTCACCTGGTGGTCTGGCTAGTAACACCCTTCCTGTCTGAGGCCCTATTCACACCAGGGCAACAGTGTTTCAGCGCGTTTTACACTTGTTTTTTGGAAGCGCGTTTTTATGCGTGTTTCAGCACGTTTCCATTGAAGTTTATAGGGAAAACAAGCTGATCAGCGCTACAAAAGTAGCTCAGGAAGCATTTCAGGGTAAAGGCATATTGGAACGCGCGATTCCACGCATTTGCGTGAACAGCCCCCATAGGAATGTATGGGATTCTAAATGTTGACATTTCAGAGTGACGCAACCGCCATGGTGTGAACGGGGCCTGGGAGTGGCTCCACTCTATAGAGGAGAAATGGAGCCAACCTTGGACAACAGTATTGTCAACCTGGGGAGAGAGTGTTAGATGTCCTAGAACATTTAGATGTATTTAACTAACAAATTAAATCCAAGCTCCAGCTAACACTTTTCAGATAGGTACACCAACAGTTTTGTTTTCCTTTTGGTCAGCTCAAAGCTGACCATTGTAATCACCCGTGTCACTGTTAAATGGTTTGTTTCAACCTTTGAACAGCCACTTTTGCTGCACAGTTTGGTCTGTTAAAGGAAGCTGAAAAAGCATAGACTTCTTGGATGGATCCCAAGGTGAAAATAAAGCCCAAAAAAAGAAAATGAACCCAGCCACCATATCTATGTATCGGTAAGCTGCAATATATGTGTACAATAAATTGTGTTTATTGTGTGCATACACACCCCAGGGGTATCATGTGCCAGCCCTTACAGTTCTTGTATCAAGATCTTACAGCACTGATAGGAACTAATTCAGTGCTGTTTGCTGTCCTTTTTTTCTGGATAGAATGCAATTTGAATATCCTGTGCACTGTCAATGGAGCTGAAAGTTTCTTGAAGGTGCACACTCTCTCTAGGGGCCTGATGATGATGTGAGGATCCTTACTAAAACCTGTCTCTTAGGGCAACAATTTGACTGAATGTTATCATTTGTGCCTTAGTGCAAAGCAGACAGCTCAACTCTCCCAGACGTTCCAGGAGTCTCCCACTATAAGATATAACGGCTCCCGGACATCCGGGAGTAAAACACTTTATTCTGGAAAGGTTTTCTCTGCTCTATCTAGCAGAGTAAACCTTTCCCTGCTGTCTGTTTTGTTTTTTTTATTCTGATATCAGGGCCGCCGACCACCGTCAGAGTAGGAAAAAAAAAAGACAGCATGGAAATGAATAGCTAAATTGCTATTGGCTATTTCAATTTGCAATACCAGGCTGGCTATTGCACCCGCCCTTTGCTGCTGTCAATCAGCAGAGGTGGACCTGAAGTTCTCCATCAAGTCCTCCTCTTCTGATTGACAGCAGCAGTGGGCGGGTGCAATAGCCAGCCTGCTATTGGCTATTGCTAATTGAAATAGCCAATAGCAATCTAGCTATTCATTCCCATGCTGTCTATTTTTTATTTTTTTTACTCTGACGGCAGAATACAGAATACACAAAAAAACAGCAGATAGAAAGGGAAGCATTAGCTTCTCTGCTATCTGCAATAATTTCAGGAAGGTGCCCTCTTCCCCATCCCACGCAGATGGCGGGGGTGGAGGGCACCTTCCTGAAATGAATTCTCTCAGGTTGGGATGCCTGGTAAAGTAAGTAAAAAGTCCATGCTATTAAAGTGTACCAATAGCTATAGCAGGCCAGAGTGCTGAGGGTACAGCAGAACCAGAAGCCTTGTGCAGTCTAGTTGTATAACTATGTATCCAGGAAGCAACAATTTCTAGCAGTTATGTGTATATAGTTTTCACAGTTCTATCAGGTTGCTATAAAAGATTAGTTTATGGTAGTACTAGTATTTAGAGTAGCAGAGGTATTGTGGAAAGCACAGAGGTCAGTTAGCCAAAAAGTCATGTAATAATTTGGGGTCATCCGTAAGAATAGATAACGTCATCCGTAAGAATTCCCAGACAAGATCACATCGCAGACATGCTGATCTACTCAAACTACACATATTCTACTTAACTAAACCACTCCAACTTGCCATAGAAGCTTCTGCAGTGACTAAAAGTAGAATATTAGTAGAAGAGTACAATGGAAATAGCATCTATTGATAACATTCTAAATGGCATAAAAGGGTCTTTTCTTTCTGGCAGACATTCCTTTCAGACAAACAATGTTTGATACCGTGAACTCTGTTTTTTTTTTTATCTATTACCCTCATCGACTATCAGGTATCAGGCACAGTTTGTACACTGAAGAGTAACTATGAAATGTGTCATATTACTGGTTAATCTTTTATGGTTATAGATACTGCCATTTGCCGAAGCAGAGACTAGGTATTTTTTTACCACATCATCATAAATTCTTTAAAAGAAATTCACACCTCCACGCAATGTCTACTGGCATTAACACATTCAAGGTCATGAAAACTGGGTTATTTAACCTTTATCTCTAGCTGCCCTGAAATATATTTAACTATCAATGTACATTTCCTGTTTTGTGAAATACAAAGACTTACTGCTAAATGGTTGCATGTATTTAAAAATGTTTGCATACTGGATTGTAGAACAGATTGTGTTTAGGCAGGTGGTGGTGTTTTTTTTTTAGGCTGGGAGCTATATAGGAAGGGTTAGGAAATATATGCTACATTCTAAATAATGGGGTGTCATTGGAAAAACTAGTAGCTATATACTACATTTTGAATAAGAGGGTGTCATTGGAAGGGTTGGGGGGTATATTATACATTCTGAATAGCAGGGTGTAATTGGAAGGGCTAAGAGATATATGTTACATTCAAATAAGAGGGTGCCATTGGAAGGGCTAGGATGTATATACTAAATTCTAAATAAGAGGCTGTCATTGGAAGGGTTAGGAGGTATATGCTACATTCTGAGTATGAGGGTGCCATTGGAAGGGCTAGGATGTATATACTAAATTCCAAATAAGAGGGTGTCATTGAAAGGGTTAGGCGGTATATGCTACATTCTGAGTAAGAGGGTGCCATTGGAAGTGCTAAATGGTATATGCCACATTCTAAATTAGAGGGTGTCATTGGAAGGGCTAGAAGGTATACTACATTCTGAATGAAATGGTGTCATTGGAACAGCTAGGATATATATGCTACATTCTAAATAATAGGGTGTGATTGTAAGAGCTAGGAGTTATATGCTACATTCTAAATAAGAGGATGTCATTGAAAGGACTAGATGGTATATGCTACATTCTAAATAATGGGGTATCATTGGAAGGACTAGGAGGTATATGTTGCATTCAAAATAACAGGGCGTCATTGGAAAAGCTAGGAGGTATATACAACATTCTGAATAAGAGGGTGTCGTTGAAAGTTACAAGCTAACCAAACATCTGTTCATGTATTGTGCTCTCATTACAGAGCCCAATGCCATAGGGAGCTTCCATCCTTAGGTTATTGCATGGGAACAGTACAGTGGGCTGTTTAAAATATCTAGCAAGTGAGATAACAATGATACCACCAGTCCATAAGGTTTATATGCTCATTATGGTCAGATATGGGCATACCTAACAAACTATGAACACGGATGCCACTATAGGAAGGAAAGCCGAGAACAAAAAGCAAGGACAGAGTCTTCACTAGACTGCTGTGAAGTGCATTGATTACATTTTCTTAAGACACCAGGGAATGTAAAGGACATATATTGTGACCTGATTTAAGGGAGTGTGCACATGACTATAAAATCTAAAGTCAGAGTGTGTATGAGCACTCCTATAACTACTAAAGCCAAGGCATTTAGGCATATGAAGTGCACATGTCAGCCTTAAACCTGAGGATAAAGTTTCAGTACCAATTGGTGGAGGCCTAAAGGCTTGATACCAGGACCTTCAGTAAAAATGAGAGAGCCAGCACTCACTGTAATTTCAAGTGACCCATGTCAGCAGCTTGGAGCATCCAAATGGTCTAGCTGGTATTATATAGACTTGGCAAATGATGCATGTTTAGTTTGGTTGTTTGCTCTTTTGTGATTTGTTTGCTATGCACACTAAGGGGTCTATATAAATGCTTTCACACCTTTCAGTCAAGATTCACTCATTTTTCTATTTGGATTCAATTGGTATAAATGTGTGAATCCTGGATATATGTTGTGTCAATCTTTTGTGAAAGCAATGGTTAATAGACTCACTTTGTACCACATGGCAAGTGTTTAGTGTCTCTATGTACCGGTTGCCAAATCTTCCTTGCTGAAACAACTCTTCTGGGGGCAGTTTTACTCTCTGCCCATCTGGCACCTCCCACAAACTTTGTGTCCTTCCCTAATGTTCAGCATTTCCCAGTATTGGCTATCACAAGTTTAAGCTTAGGTTTAGTAAAACTAAACTGCCAAGAGGGTGTTTTAGCGCTATAATAAACACTTCATACATTCATGTTTTCAGCTCTGGTAGAATGTTTTCCTAGAAAGTTTCTGTTGTACATGTCATGCATAATACTCCTGTCAAATCTTTTTTTTTTTCTGGGAGCAAATAACCAAAATGGTCCATTTCTAAAAAAAAAACAAAAAACTTTTATGGGAAAAGAACAAATAATGAACATTTCTAACTGAGCACAAAAAGTAATTGAGCATTTGCTGCCATAATAATGGAGCAAGATCTGTACATTGTTTACAATGTTGTTTTTTCTTGCTGGCCATACTATGTCAAATATGCCAGAAAGGTGAAAATTAGAACCGAAATGATGAGCGCAATTTAGCAGAAACAATAAAAGACTTAGAAAAGCACACCGATCTTTGCCGCAATCATTACAAGCAATAATAAGCCATCAAACAACTGTTGTCATAATACCTTCTCTGATTTTATGAAAGCTAACTTACCTCATTACAAAATACAAATCTGCTGAAATGGAAGACAGATTTACTTTCCTAAATAAGATTTTATTGGGCTTTGATTCATTAACTGCAACAGCTACCCAGCTGTAAACAAGAAAAACAACCCTTCACGCCTCAGTATTCACAAGAGACAAGACAAGCAAATTAGGCATCTCTTGTGAGCTCTTGCAAGTTCAGTACAGACTTACTGCATGAAGAGATTTTACAACAGGTACAGTACTTTATACAGCTTTTAAAAAGTTGGCCAAATAGAAGAGAAATATTACAAGAGGTGTCTGTGGTACACAATCTCAACACCGATGAGCAGATATCTCACTCCCAGTCTATGGTCAATCAATAGAGCATGAAACCAAACCCACAGAACATAGAATCGAGAATCAATATTACATTTGTAGATGTCTATATAGGAGAGGATCTGATCATGTAAAAGCAATTAGACTACTGGGAAATCAATGAACATGCATATCAATGTGAAAAATATCACAATGTGCTGGCCTTGCTCTGTTCATCTCAATATTGAATAGAACATTGGATAATATCAGTCAGGTGATGCAGCTGTTTGCGTGCCATACATGCTGAGATCATGCCACGATGGCTTGTACTGGGTAACAATCTGTCCCCATTGATGTACATACCGATTGGCAGATTCTATGTGTAACTTGAAAGCTACACAAAAAGTAAGCTAAACAAAGAAGCACCTCTCACCTCAAGTAATGTCTGCGGCTGCCCTGTAGAGTGATCTGGATGGGCACACTAAATGACTGTCTGTGTGCTACTGGCGACATCCACATCTTTTCTCTGAATATTGCCATCAGCCCCGAGCATGTAACACCGACAGACTGCTAACTCCATGCCCTGGACATCACCACTGAAGAGAGACCACTAGGGACTTTCCCAAGTGCTTATATGTGCTGTCATTGAAGTGTCCCAGATTAATATGCTTGGAAAGTAAGGAAAGTAGATTAGCTGCTTTAGTGCCCAGAAAGAGTTTGTCTCTTGTGAAGATAACAGGCCTCTAATTAATGCTTGTGTAATGCAAAGCGTATTTTATCACCTGGGTGCTTCTACATCAGGCACTGACATGTTTCTATAGAAACCCTTATCCCTCTGGGATATTCGAACGTCTCAAGAGCACGGTATGGACTGGAAGGGAAGATTGTGACTTCTAGTACAGCTGGCTCACATGCCGAGTCAGAGGAATCACACGTCATATTAGCATCTGTGCTGTCACACCAGGGTTTCTCCGCCATTTTCTGCTGGATGCAGATCAAATCTGAGTTCCATAAGCAATGGATGTTTGTATATGCGTTATTGGAGCTGATGAATGAGAACTCTTATGATAAAATTATGATTATCATCATTGTAATTTTTTTGAATGCTGTAATCTGCCAGGGAAATAGGGAAATAAAATGAATGCTCTTTACCACAATTTCCTAGGACTGCTTTAAATCTGTGGTGGGGAAACAATAACAATTTTTGTAGCAGACATTGATAAATGAGCCTGGTGAGTACTAAGAGCATAAGTCCGCATCATATAACAATGTGTGTCGAATAATTATTGTCTGTGTTGTCCATGGCCAACAATCAAATTGTTCTGTTCTAATGGTTGGAATCTGAAAGTTTGAACCATAATGGTCATTGCTGGCAACATTACATTCTTAGTTATCCTTCATTTCTAACAAACTTTGCAAAATTCTTGGATCAAACTAGCCTATTGCATCAGTGAGATTCTTCTTTAGCCAGTCCCTGCTTTATCAGCAAAATGCCAAATATCACTATGCTTCACATATTTTGGTCTTGCCCAAGGTTGCGGTCTATCTGGGATACAGTACACAAGATAATCCATGAACTTACAATGGTGAACCTGTATGTCTTCCCTGTCAATGCATCTCCTTAATGCTGCAAGAGCTTGCATTCCCCTGAGCACACCCTAATCACTCCGAGCACAACACCGCAACCGCAACAGCGGGAGTTTTGTTTTTAGTCACTGAGCCGGGGGAGATATCACAAAGATCTCTCTGTGACCGGCTCAGCAATACAAAGTCCATGGTGCCTGGGGAGCTGCAAGTGAGCATGGCTGTGGCTTCCAAGGCTTTCAATCCAATCAGGAAGCCGGGCAGGTGGGCACATGACCACCTGCCAGTCTCCCTGTCTCATTACTGAACCCCTGTTGGAAGAGTTAAGGGGCAGTTGAAGAGATGGGAATCCGGGATGCCTCAGGTCTGTTTATGTATGTAATACAGGTGAAACTCGAATAATTAGAATATTGTGCAAAGTTCATCTATTTCACTAATGCAACTTAAAAGGTGAAACTAAGCTCCAGAGCATTTCACTGATAGTGACAACAGTGGACTATGTCAGAGGAATAAGTGTTGGTATGGCCACTTGTTGTCTTCATCAGGAATGCAAGAGATAGGATGACAAAGCAAGGTCAATACTCAGAGACAGTTGTCACCATGACAGGAAGTGCCTGAATAAGGACCTTCATAGTGAGATCTCCAGGAATTCTTTTACCAAAAGCTGCATATTTAGCACGATTGAAAATTACTTTTAAATGTACTTTAACATTGTAAATCTCTCATGAAATTATAGTGACTGCATTTATTTCAAAGTACATTATGTACATGTAAGTATTTGGCATTTGAAAAGCAGAGTAGGAATTGGTCAGAGGACTTTTCACACTGCTAACCAGATTGAATGTGTACTGGAGTATATGCAAACCAAAAGTCACTGTTTCTTTGTAATGTTTGCTAGAAGTGTGTGAGAAAGTATAGTAGTGTGCAGAGCTTTAATTGAGAATATTAAGCCTAACTGAGAATTTTAAGTGTTAACATGAGGTCACTAAATCACCTCATAGGTTATATAACAAAGCTCTATGGCTGTTGGCAACATAAAGCAGGTCTTTTACAGCACTTATTTGTAGATCAGGATAACTGTAAGATATTCATGCATACCACGGTGGCATATGTGCTGCATTCAAACTGTTGCAGAAACCAGAATCTTTTCTTTATATTCGCAAGTGATTATACCTATTGTGGCATTGTGAGGCAATACCACGGTGTTAGGTGGCCTCAAAGTCACCCAGGGTTCTCAGCCAGAGGGGCTGAGTGGCTCCAGGAAGACATTACTGGTACCAGGAGAGAACTGCCTTTTCAGTTCTTTCTGGGTTTTCTGGATCAAGGTTGGGATCCTGGAGCCAGGAGATTTCTTAGAGCTCTGGGTGGGAAGAAATCTCCATTCCTGGGTCCATGCTTTGGTGGTGACCAGCACCTGATTGTGCACCTGTGTACATCCCTCATGAAGAGTGTGCTGGGATGTGTTCAGGGCCCCACCTGTGAGTCAGGAGAGCTCCACCCCGGAGCCAGTGTGGAGGCCAGTGCCAGTGCCAGGGTTTGTGAACCATATTGAGAGGATTTCGTGTTATCTACCGTTTTGAAAGCAAATAAACTGCATCTGACTTGCATCTCCGGTCTACAGTGGAGTGTCCTTGTTACAAGTGGTGTAAGGGTTCTCAGCCAGAGGGGCTGAGTGGCTCCAGGAAGACATTACTGGTACCAGGAGAGAACTGCCTTTTCAGTTCTTTCTGGGTTTTCTGGATCAAGGTTGGGATCCTGGAGCCAGGAGGATTCTTAGAGCTCTGGGTGGGAAGAAATCTCCATTCCTGGGTCCATGCTTTGGTGGTGACCAGCACCTGATTGTGCACCTGTGTACATCCCTCATGAAGAGTGTGTGCTGGGATGTGTTCAGGGCCCCACCTGTGAGTCAGGAGAGCTCCACCCTGGAGTCAGTGTGGAGGCCAGTGCAGCAGGGAGCTGCGGGTTTGTGAACCATATTGAGAGGATTTCGTGTTATCTACCGTTTTGAAAGCAAATAAACTGCATCTGACTTGCACCTCCGGTCTACAGTGGAGTGTCCTTGTTACACTATATAATTCAAAAGTGCTACAATAAAGTCACCCATCTGACATGGTCCTTATTGCATGTACCACAATGAACCTAACACTTAACCTCAACCCAACTTCTAAACTTTGCCCTTGATCTGAATGTCTCCCCTACTTTATATTATTATGGCAATAAATGCTACATTTTTACAGTGATGCTGTAACGTTAGCTATTTAAGGAGAGATGATGATAATAATACAAATATGTTATTGATTCAGTGTTCAGTATGGACAAATGTTAACTGTTTAGAATTTGAATAGACAGCTTGGCCTGGGACATCTGGGGAGCTAACAACTCTCTGCTAACAAGTCTTTAACAAGGTCCTGTATGCTTGTGGTGTGTATATATACTGCAACTCTGCAGGGAAAGAGAGGTCTTTACAAACTGAGGCTCCACACACTGGGATTCATCACTCATTTTCTAGTTGTTGGGAGATGAGAGTTATTCCTTTTGTTAGTTCAAGCTATGAGCTGCATGTGGATGAAAAATGGTATGTCCTAGCCTTATGGAACAACCTAGGGACTGAATAAACATTTTTATGGCCACTGCTCATGGCAGCTATACGATGTTTGGACTCGCTGTGATCAGGATAATGCACTGGTGTAACTAATTGCCAATATTTTTGTATGTTATTTTCTTTCTTGTCTTACACATACTCTACATATCTGTATGCACTGCCTACCTAGGGAAAATAAATATAAAAAAATAATAAATAGTGTCCTGTGTAATTGGCTAAGAATTCATAACTCTAGAGAGATGGTGGGATGTGGCTGCACCCTCATTTTCTCTAATTGCAGCAGTTGGCTGAGAGAGATGAAGACAGCCAATCTAATTGCATGCAGATTAGTGTCAGTGTGTGGAAGTTATCATATCTCCCTTAGCAAAGGAAAGATCTTATTGCCAGCAACAGGGATCTGTGTGTGTAGGAATACCAAGCAGACCTGAGTTGTGTGACCAGAGGGAGAGGTAAAAGTGCTCCAGGATTCCAGCTCACAGGATAGCTTCGGGAATCTCAGAAGCATGTAGCTACTCCACAACCCTTAGAGTGCACCTGATTGTATCCAGGGTTTGTATCTGTCTCTGTGTGCACAGCCAGCTAGATTTGGGTGTGCCTCCTTCTAGTGGTGGCTGGCAGCATAGTAGGCTATGATAACTGTTGCAGAAGCCTACTTTACCTTCACAAAATGAGCCCTTTCCTCATCCCTCCTCCAAAGAAGGATCTTGCTCCAGTTAACAAGTCACCATGGGTATGATCCTCATGACAGATACTAACAATAATAATCCTATTTATAATATGTCAGATTATCAGTGCTAAAAAACCTACACTGAAATCTATACACCAAAATCAGATTATTCACAGCACACAGTTAATGCTTAGGTAAAGCCTCAACTTTTTTTTAGTTTTGAAAAGAGTAGGAAGTTGTTTTCTTTTTTTGCTATCTGTGTTCTACTGGGGAGTTTTACTTTACTTACTGTCCCAGGGACACAACAGGTAGTGAGAGGAAATTCCCATTACACAGTTGTAGCTGGAATAGGTGTCCCCATTGGAATATCTCTATAAAACCTTTGGCAGGTTTTCAATTTAGGTGATAAAAATATCACGGCATTAACAGTCTTACCATACGTAGGTAATTGTTCATATAAGCTTATGCTCCTTACTTTGTAACTACATCATTAGAAATATATACACACGCTGTAACTTAACCGTTTTCAGATTTCCCTAGATACTTTGTTCACAAATAATTTACATAACAGGGGGAGCCACCTATGGAGAATACTTGAGAGGCCTAATTTTAGAGCTTCATATCTACATAAGGCATGGTCTGATTTTGATGTAAGTGATCCCTACTAAAATGATTGTAATACATTATG